TTTTAGAGAGTTTTTACTTTTTAAGCAAACATTCCCTTGCTTTAAATCCCAATCTTCTTAGCTCCAAAGCCAGCAGTATCTCTGGAGTATAACAATCATTCAATTACCAAAATATCAGTGCAGTACATATTAATATAACCTTTAAAAAAAGAGACAGAAACAGAAAATCTCATGCCTATTCAGTTCTTATATTTTTTAGAATCAAAGGAAAATGGTAAGAAAATGTGTTGCAAAAGTTCAGTGTTTGTTTCTCAGTGAAATAGGAAGGTTTTTTTTTTTTAAAAAAAAAGGCACATTCTGCTATATTATCACTTTTCAACTTCTGGCCAAACCCCTGTAGTTTTCATCACGCATCATTTTTGTGATTAATGATGTGCACCCAGTTAATGGAAAACAGCAGATTAGGTTTCCACTAATAGTTTTGGAAGTTATGTCTGCCTGCCTCATTTGGTAACAACCTCACTGTTCAGTAAGAAACTAATGGATTTAATCCCAAAGCAGAATTTAGTTTTACAAATACAAGATAGGTCAGATTTTCAGAGTGGAGAAAATTATACTTTTAGAGGTGTGCTGATCTTCCACTGAAATTTAATGCTGAGATAATACCTTATATATATTTTTTCTTTTTACTTCTACTAGTGATCAATTAAAAAAATTACAGTACTTACTTGAGACCTATAAAAGCAGACAAAATTAGTGGCTTGAGACAGTGGTATATAAAACAAATATAATATGATACTTTCTATAATTAGTATAATGAGCTGAAAAATATCTATGGTTATGAAGACAGGTGAGAAACAGTCCCTTATATATTAATGTATCACTGCAATACTTATCTCATAAACAAATTTACATTTGCTTGTTTTGTTTTACTATAGAAAGTGCTAGCTTCGACTGATTGTGGTTGAAGAAAAATAATGGTACAGTGGAAAGCATATTAATTACCTAGGAATAAATCAAGAGGCAAAAATTCTAGTCCCATTTCTGCCTCAAATTACTTTGGGAAAAAACCTATCTTTTTTCATTTTCCCTAAACATATTTTATATGCATCTCTTCTAAGTGACTTAACGATTGCTATATTATTTTAAATTTTATCTAGATATATCTCATATTCTGCATCTGGACTAGATTCCTTAAGGCTAGACCCTACATCTGATTTACAATTTTTATTTCCTACAGTGCCAAGGTAGATTTTAAGCTTCAAGAGAAGAGGGACTTCGCCTGTATATCCCATGTGGTTAGCATGGTGTGACCTCATGCTACTAAGGTGTCAACTAAATAGGAATTTTAATAAATAATTTTAAAAATTGAAAAGAATAGCATGGAGTGGGAGGGAAGAATAGGCAGAGCACAGAGGATTTTCAAGCCAATGAAAATATTCTGTATGATCCTATAATGATAGATACATGTTACACATTTGTCTAAACTCTTAGAATGTACAGCACCAATAGGGAACCTTAAGATTAATTATGGACTTTGAGTGCTTATGATGTCAGTGTAGGTTCATTCATTGTGTACCACTCTGGTGGGGGGATGTAGATTATAGGGTAATCTATGCATGTGTGGGGATAGAAGGTATGTGGGAAATCTCTGTACCTTCCTCTCAATTTTGCTATGAATCTAAAACTGTTCCAAAAAAATAAATAAAGTCAGTTTAAAAAATAGCATTATTTTAAAACAGAAGAAAATTCTGCTCACATTAAATATAGTAGAGTTTGCAAACTTTTTGTTTATCCAACATAATATTAACAAAACTTTATAGTAAACACATACTATGTGTCAAATTTTTCTAAATACTTTATATATATTAAAACTCAATACTCAGAACAACTCAATGAGGTAGGTACTGTTGTTATCCTCATTTTTCAGATAAGGAAACTGCACTAGAACAACTTAAGGTATATGCCCAATGCTATGCAGCTACTAAGTGGTAAAGATTCACCAAGGAAGGGCTGGCTGCAAAGTTCATGAGCTTTATCATGATCTGCCAGGTAACCAAAATCCTTTATTTGAAGGATCATTTTTGTCTTTATTTCATAATTTCAAGTATATTATTTAAATCAGAGGTTAAGTTTCTTGGCGTTAAATACTGTTATATCTCCTCATTATCAAATAATCCACAGCATATGTGATTAAATTAACCACATTGACCTCCTATTTAGGCATCTGGCAAGATGCAATCACTTGAAAGGACAAATCACACTAAAGATATACTATTATCTGTTTCAGATTTTTATTTCAATAGAAAAATGGAAAAGAGAATAGTATGCTTGTAGGGAGAAAATTTTTCCCCACTTCCAGGAGTACGACTTTTACACAAAAACAACCTCCTACTAATTAAAGGTAGCAGCACTCTAGGGTTATTTTGTTTTTGATAGTTTTTATTGTTGTTAAAGCTAGGTAAGAGGGAGGTGGTTTAAAGGGGTGGCCACATAAGAAATGGGTCAAGCTGAGAAAAAATAGGATTCTCCACTAGAAATACAAACAACAACAAAAAAAGCAGGGAGGGGGGGTTAGAAAAATTAGAGTGTTTAAAAACAAGGTTCAAGAAGTTTTGGAAAATATAAATTCTCTGGAGAAGAGAAATTGAGCAAACTACAGAAAAAAGGGGGATAATTTATTTGTATATATCTTAACTCTACTTAACTAGAGTCTGGGAATTTTTTTTTTTAATATGCATTGTCTCTTTAAGAATAAAAATGGGTAAATGTCTAACATGACACACTGCAATGGCTATATTTTAATTTTTAAAAATCCATGAAAATTCTACAATAAGCAATAGACAAAAGTTTTTCATGCAATTTCCTAATAGCAAAACGGCTACATAAATATAGTTTATATTATGCTGGTTGTTTCTAATTACTGATGTACAGGCTCAATTCTATATCTAAATGACAGAATCAATGAAAATATCAATCAAATAATTTACTGAGCACTAAGCACATGAAAAATATTCTACTCAGTTATTCACTCTTAACAATTTAAGTTTTGCACGTTAAGGAAAAAGATGTGAAAGCAAAGTAATCATTTAAGAAATGACCTGTGGCATAAATTTCAATCTACAACAAAGGGGCATTTATCCACAGATTCCATGTATTTCATAATCTTTTTCTCTGACAGGAGATCTCCAAAAAGATCTCATTGGCCAGGTTGAAACTTGCACAGGCACTTTTTGCACTCCTTGTTTGAAAATACCGAAGGTACAAGAAGCTGGGAAACTTTGTCATGCAAAATGAGACCGAACAAAGAAGCATTCATCCAATTTTAGATACTATAACTCAACATTAAAATTAACAATGCAGAATCTGTGCCATAACAAATTTAAAAAAAAAATGTTATTAATACCAATGATTCCAAAATAGATCTTTAAAAAATTAGGAAAAAGTAATTATATGTATACCATTTCTTAGTCATGAAGGAACAGAAGTATGATACTATAGATATATTATTTATTTGATTTATCAAAATCTACTTCTATGTTTTTTAAGGTACAACAAACTATTTGATTCCTTAACAAACTATCTACACAGGTAGCAAAGAGCAAACCAGGCTGAATACATGCAATATGACTCTAGAACCCAAATTTTTAACAATTTTGCTAGATTTTTTATTTGGGCCTTAATTTATTTTAAAGAGGCTCAATGTATTGACAGTTTTATTTTGCAGAAGCACAGCTTTTTTTATTTCTGTGTATGTTAAGCTCCAATAACAGATTCTCTGTGAAGTCAGTATAAGAACAATGCTTCCTGAGAGTGTCCCAGTAATGATAGAAGTCACTGTACTGTTGTCAGAGATGAGCCCAGAGATACTGCTTCCAGGGCTTCAGCACAGGTTTCATACTCTCCCTCACCTAGCTACCAAATATTCAGCCCTCCCAAAGCTGTGGACCAAAGAAAAGCATATGGCTGGCTCTCCCCAACTGAAGAAAAACATCTTTCTGTTGTGGAATACTAGAAGCAAGTAGTACCTAATAAAAATCTATTGAAATCTCAACAGAAACTTTTCCCTGAATGGAAAACCTTACCTGTGGAACCATAACTATGAAGAAGCTTTTAATAAAATAGAAAATCAACTCAAAACAAAGCAATTAAAACTATATATTGAATTTGCCCCTTCCTCAAGAATAAAGACAAACCTGACCTAAGAAATAATTTTTAAAAAGCAGAAATGAAACTGTTCTTAGTATAAATTACTCACTGAACATAAGAAAATATTTTTTTACATAAACACATTCTCATTAAGTTCTATAATAAGCTACAAATAAACAAGTCACTTGAAAGTTTAAATCTCGAGTTCACAAAAGTGAACTTTCAAAAAGAGGTAACTTTCTATTTCCGGGAACTGAACCTCATAGTGAGGTTTACTGAGCAACTCTCTAAACATAAATGGACATTTTTGTTAAACCATATAAACTCAGTTATCCAAATTGCAAAGTAGGTACTGACACTATTCAGCGTCTAATTTAATCATAATCAAATCAAGCATTTCTGGGGAGAAAGAATCCAAAGACATGTGGACAGCTTTTCTTTTTTTGTTGGCTTAGTTTTACACTTCATGTAATTGATGAAAATATAAATAATTATTCAAAATGCCTCTCCCTTAGATAACATAACTCATGAAACACTATTTCATGTTTATTTTCCAAATGTTACTTTCAAGATGTGAGTAAATCAATCCAGTCTGAATATTGTACTCCAATCAAAAACACTATTTCTTCCTGAACAGAGACATAGAAATATATCTGTCAATATGTAGCTCTTTGCCAAAAAACCAACAAATTTCAAACCTAAACTATTTTTTTTTCTATATGTGGAAATATGTTCTCTATTTTCAAAGGTTTTGTGCCAAGGTATTTAAACACTTACTCAAGAACAGGGTGGAGGAGGGCTAGAGGGACAATGTCTCATTCCCTATGGAGCCAGAATTTACCTGTAAGTATTAAATACAAAGTGAGATCCAATAACACCTAAGCATAAACCAGAAAAGAATAGATGATTACCTGATATTCATTGGGCCAAAAGGTGCTCACTGCAAGCTCAGCCCGAAGCCAATCTCTACCTGTGAATCCAGTCACATTCCAAATTGGATTGGCAAGAGGTCCTTTATTCACTCTAACTAATATGTTCAAAGTGCCAGGGTTCAGCCCTTTCTGGCTATATAACAGGTAACTGAAATCAATACAGTGAGTGTCGTTCTCCTTCATTGTAGGCAGCTGAAGTCTGGCTTTTTCTCCAGGGTCATGATCTGAAGAGTCCACTATCATATAGGAACCTGAAATGAATTACATATAATAAAACTAAATAAATATATAAGCAAAGGGGAATATAAAATAGAATACTAGAAATGATATCAATTCATTCTGAGTGTTAAATTTAACACAGAAGACCATGTCTTCCAGAACAGAGCCATAGCAAGACACCAAATAAGTAAGCAAACTGACTTCTTATTATGTAACAGACGTTGGTCAAAGTACGTAACATGTATTAATACATTTTCTCTCTGCAATAACTTGTTATTATTTCTATTTTATAAATTAGAAAATTGAGGAACAATTATTTACTTATTCAATATTAAATAGTCTTTGACTATTTGAATGGTCAAATAGGCAGCGCCTGGTGTTAATCCAGATCTCAAACTAAAAAATCTCATGTTACTAAGCAAAGGTCTTTTACTATCAAACAAACAAAGCAATACCTTCTAGGCCTGGTGCATCTTTAAGAGTGCATCTTTCCTTTTCCCTATTCATAATATTATTTCAGGGAGATGGGCTAAGAGTGTAGTCACTGAAATCCATTCTGATTTCTAATCCCGAAATCACTATTTATATAGTAGCTGTGTGATCTTTTGCAGTGTACTAACCACTCCGAATTTCAGTTCAGGGAAAAAGGATACTTTCCAGTGTAAGTATGAGGACTGAAGTTTAGAATGTCAAATTTCTAGAGCTGAGAATCTGGCATATGGTAGATTTACTTACCTGAAGTTTCACCCATGAAGCTATCAGCTCATTACCATGGCTATTGACCCTATGTTCTTCTATAGCTGCAGGAAGTCTAGTTTGAAAACTACTAATCTGCTCCACTTCCTTTGTCTTAATAAAGATCTATCTTAGCAAGGCACAGTACATAGTCCTATACTCATAGTACCTCACAGACCCACCCTCAAAATTGTCTCTACACTGCAGACATGGGTTATGTGGTGTTAAGTACAAAAATGGGAATTAAATACCAGCTGCTGGTATTAGTCCAAGGACCTCTCCAGAAATATAAACAATGTTTCTAATGGCCCTGCTCATTTTAATGAAGACAAATATAACAAACATAGAAATATATCTAGTTATCACACAAGATAGAATGCAAATTTTATTGTATAATATTATTCCCTAGGATGCAATTTCAACCAAAATGTATTAGGTATAGTGTCACAGAAATCAGTGTTACAAGGGTTATATATGGACCTCTATTCCTAACCAACTTATAAAATTAATCAACCCTTTGGGTTTCCTCTCTAAAACAGTAAATTTCCCTGGTGACACACTAAACATTTATTGACTAGAAATCTAACTAGTTCAATTAACAGGTTCAAATCATGGAAGATAAGATTAGTTCTACTATATAAGAAATCAAAATTTTAAACATGATCAATTCCCATTTGGTGGTACTCTAAAATTCAGAGCTTTTGTGAAGATTTCATATGATAACACTATCAGGCCAAGTACAGAATAAGTTTACTATAGGGATAGTTATTAACATTACTTTCACTTCATTTTTCCCAGTTCTCATCTTTTGTAACCTGGAATTCTTTTTTTTTTTTTTTCCCTCATGATTCTCATAGATTGCACATTAATAAATAAATTGACTATGTGTATTTTGGGAGAAGTTATGACTTTTTTTTTAACAGGATATCCTGGATCCCAACCTAATTTATAGAAGCAGGATGTTTCTATTTTGGTTATATTCACATTCTGAGGTCCATGGCTGCATATGGAGATGTCTTTCAGATTCACCATAGCACAAAAGGCCAATTATTGCTTTTAACTATGACCAGGACTGAGATCTTGGATAAGTTACTTAGTGTTATTGGGCCTCAGCTTCTTCACAAACCTGTGACCTGATTCTCCACTGCTACAAGTTTTTTCAGTGACATATCACAGCAGTAGGGCATTTAAATTATTTTTTACATTCTATATCAATCATGACTTCTGATTGTGAATTTTAAAGTAGTGCTGTCTAAATGACTTACAGGTTTTCAAATAGTTATTTTCTTCCATTATAAAATAAACTTTGGAATAAAATATTGTTTTCCTCACATTTTAGTTATATAGTATGATGTTTACCATTAAGATCGCTTAGCAATTTTCAGTCAGCTGTAGCTTTAAGCCATAATAATTTTCATATTAAGGAAAAAGGATGAGCAAAGTGTATCGATTTTTAGAAACTACTAATCTGATCATTAGAAAGACAAAAGTCACAAAATAAAACCTTGTCCAAGCTATTTCGGCATTTCAAGGGTATTCAATGCAAGTTAAATATGATTTTTAAAAAGTGCTGATATTTCATTTCTATAATGTTTCTGCCAAATGGGCTTCTTCTTTCAATGAACCTGACTACTGCTACATTTTCTGAGTGCTATGAAATAATATGTATTTATTGCACAGTTCCAGGAAGGAAGAAGCAAGCACTAGCAGGAAAAAGCCATCTAAAATTCTTCAACTGACTTTATATAGTGGCAATTTACCTAGAAGTCATCATGAAGGTAGCTGCCTACTTGATATAAGGTTTTCCTTCTATCATGACAAGCATAGAGAACACTGTGGCTGTTCTTATTAATTGATAAAAATTACTTCCAGTCTCTCAGAATAAATGATTACCAACTCTCAGAGTCAGGAAATTTTACAATATACATTTCTCTCATTTTTTACGTTATAATTTAAGCTTACTTACAATTGTTCTGTTACCAGCTAACTAACCCCTCAGATTTCTAATGAATTCAGTTCTATTTAGTTGTGATTTAGCTATATCAAGACTAATAATGAAACATCTGTGCTCACACACATATAATGTACTAACTTTTAATTAATGTAACTTCTTTAACGTGGCCTTACAAATATCCCTTACAGTCTCTTGAGCAACAGAATTCTTAAATATATCATTTAAGACATAGGAGGAAACTTTATATGCTTATAATATATTTTTTTTAAGTATAACTTTTCTGGAGAGCAATTTGGTAATGAAAATCAAAACCTTTAGAAGAGATATCTCCCCTTTGGTCTGGCAATTCTAAATCTAGGCATGTACACTAGATATATAAATTGTGTATATATACAAAGATAGAGCTTTTAAAAATGTTCATCCTGTAACACTTTAAAATAGAGAAAAACATAGGTATTTTAAATGTCCAATAATAGACAATTTGAAAAATTATGGTAAATCAGTTTTCTGAATAATTATATAATCATTAAGGATGATATTAACAAAATTAATTTAATGGAAAATAGTCACAATATATCAAGTAATATAATCAGGTTATAAAATGTACTCACTTATGAAAAAATGTTAAATAAATCCATTTCTGTAAATGTATGTGTATTCATATATATAAGTGTGTGTGTCCATAAATATGCACATGTGACTGCAAAACATAATAATAATAATATATAGCAAAATGTTAGCTATATTATTGGGGGGAGCTGCAATTGTCTTCTGTTTTCTTATTTTTGTTTATGTATACTCACTGAATGTTCCACAATGAACATGCAATAGATTTGTACGAGAGAGAGAGAGAGAGAGAGAGAAACTGCATTAATACTATCTTACATGAGGAACATCAAATGAATAATGATAAATACTTGGGAAATAAAAACAAGTATTTGGCCTTTTAAAAATAAATCCTATTTGCATCCTACAGATTAACAGCATCTTGGCTTGCTTTCAACAACAACAACAAAAAATACAAAACTCAGGAACTTCTTATTGCAATTCATTAAAAAAGAGAGAGAAATGCAAGGAGCACTTAGACTAAATAGCATTTCTTATTGAAAAGAACAGCCCAAGAAAACAAGTCCCATATTCATAAATACCAGTCTAATATCTAGATGAATAAATAATGCCATATGAATTGTATGTCTTAATGAAATTCTTATCTTTAAGCTATACTTCCAGAAATAGCATAACACAGGAAATAGGATTAACTGAAAAGAAAATCATGAATAATAAATAAGTTTCCATACTTCTTCCTAAATCTCTCTTATTTATATAGATCCTTTAGTACACAAACATGTTTTTATTGTCAGTTCTTATTCAAAACCATTGGCTGTGCCCTAGAAAGTAAATTAAGAGGAACTTGTACTTTTCTGTTTAGTACTTACAACGCACCATGCTATAGTACCAAAGTACTTTTGCCACTTTACTTTCCACTACATCTCCTCACAAACCACCTTCTCCAACCTGACAAAGTCCTCATTATTTTCTCCACATAGCATGAGAGCTTTCCTCTCTAGATGGGCTCACGCTCTTATAAGAAAACCTCTCAGCTAAGCCGCTAGCCAATTTCTACTCATTGTTCTTCCTCAGCCCCAGCTCAAGACGAGATTTCCCTACCTCAAAGGTTCTGCTTTTGTGGTTCTGGCCCTTAATTATGCACTGCTATTGTACAAATTTTAAGTAATCATTCACCTCCCTCAGAAGAGTAATAATGTTCTCTTAGAAAGTACCTGATTCATTCAGAGTCCCATTAGAAGACAGAAGCCACACAGTAAATCTAACAGTAAAGGTGTAATACAAAGAATTATTAAGTATAAGAGGGTAGAAACTTCAAAGTTGTTAAGAGAACCCTAAAAATAACCATGATACCCAAAAAGAGGAAAAATTTGCCAAGGGAAGGAATGTTGCTGAGGATCAGACCTCCTTAAAAGGTATGGTTGCTGCCCACAGGACGGTGAAGGTGTTCGTTGGGTGACTCCAGGCCAGAGCTGGTCCACAGCTACTAGGCAAGCAGGAAACATTCCCTTGCAGCAGGGTGGCATGAAGCCTGGGGATCACTGTGTGCACGTTGAGGGGGCCTACAGCAAGGTGGTCACCAGGCCAAGACTGGGGCTCCAAGCTCACTGATGGACTGCATACACTGAGTAACTTTCAGCTATTCAGAAAATGAAATAGAAGCACAATTCAACCAGTCTAAGTTCTTTCCCACTAAAATGCCCCTTCGACACCCTCTACTGACAAAGCTTAACGATATGCTAGCTAAAAAGAAGTGCTTAAAGGGTCAAGCTCCCT